TGTTTTCAACCACAATGATGAGAAATGAAGCGGGATGGAAATGTATTCTTGAACAAATTATTTTCTAACAGTGAATGTGGTTTTCTTTCAGGAAAGTTCATTCACTCCAAAATCTAATGTTAAAAGTTCAAACTTTTTAAAGTCCTTTTAAATTACATTGGTCAAGTCACCAAATGTACTGATGAGAATTTTCGTACAAATGTTTAAACAAATGTTCGGTTGAACGTTTTTTCTAAAACCTATCAGTGTAAATCAAGCCAAAAGACTGAAGAGGTGCATATGTGGGCAACAGATGAGCGAAGTATCAGCCAGGTTGCAAAAAGATTTAGAGAAATCTCTGTGGTGTTATTGAGTGTTTTAAAACTCCAAAGTATTTTTTTATCACCTACTAGAGTTTCATGACTCTTTGATACAGGCTGTTTATGCATACACACCAACTATACCAGATTTGACATGACAGTCCCAATTTAATCAGTTTTTTCAAGACAACAGTGTCTTGGGTTGTGTTTGCATACAGCACAGCGTGAGGCTTGCTGAGAGTTGCTGCACACTGGAGCATAAATATGGGAGAAAATAATGGTTTAATCCCCCAGGAGTGTTTTGGAGGAGCAACAGCAAAAAGACAGTATTTTTTACTGTCAACCAATCCGCACAATCATGTTTCCTAACAGGCTGCTGTTGATTGCTATTTACTAAACAGTAGGAGACGCTATGCTATCCACTACTCCTGCCTCTAGTCTGTCCACATTCCCAGCAGTGGCAGAAGCCATTCCTACTGGTCCTGCCCTCTGCCAACCTATGTTACCACTCCCAGCATGTAATATCAGTGTATTGTAATGTTGTGTTGGTGGTGGGGTGGGGAGTATATGTAGGTGGCAATGTTGTGACTCTGAGACTTAGTTGCATCCTGTGACTATGTCAGCCAGTCAGTTATGACTGCAAAGTGAGGTGTCACTTCACTGACCACCAAACTTAGGGTCACCCTGAAGGGCCTTCAAACATTGGTGGTCAATGGAGTGTCCTCCTTTCTTTTACAGGCTGAACATCAATGTGTGTTTTCAGATGGTCTACCAAGAACTGAGTTTAGAGCAGGACTGCATTGATGGTGCACCGCAATACTAGCCCGGTTTTACAAATTGGGAGAAGACACCTGGACACTGGGGAATGAGTCAGCCTACTAAACCCCGCATATCATATTTGATTTATGTACTGTGTTGTACATTTACCACCTGTACTACAGTATGTTGGGCTGCTGTATTTTGAGTACATGTTTCCGCTTTGCTGTTACTTTACATTGATAACATTTTTTTTTGTACATTGTGTTACCGTAAAGCATGTACTGCCAATATTGTTTGTAGTATTTGTAGTATGAGGGTGTACTGTATTTAATAGCGGGGTTAATGCCTGGTGACTTTAAGGCAGTGGTGGGCAACCTTTTTTTTTCAACTGAGCCAAATCTCGCCAAAACCAAGATTGAAATTTATTTTGAGAGCCACAATTTTAAAACTGAAAATACATCCCCCCATATAGTAATTCATCCCCCATAGTAATTAATCCCCCATATAGTAATTCATCCCCATAGTAATTCATCCGCCATAGTAATTCATCCCCCATAGTAATTCACCCCCATATAGTAATTCATCCCCCATATAGTAATTCATCCCCCATAGTAATTCATCCCCCATATAGTAATTCATCCCCCATAGTAATTCATCCCCCATAGTAATTCATCCCCCATATAGTAATTCATCCCCCATAGTAATTCATCCCCCATATAGTAATTCATCCCCCATAGTAATTCATCCCCCATATAGTAATTCATCCCCCATATAGTAATACATCCCCCATATAGTAATTCATCCCCCATAGTAATTCATCCCCCATATAGTAATTCATCCCTCCTATAGTAATTCATCCCTCATATAGTAATTCATCCCCCATAGTAATTCATCCCCCATATAGTAATTCATTCCCCATATTAATTCATCCCCTATATTAAGTCCCCAAGTCCCCCCTGTGTCAATTCACTTACCTTTGCTCCGCGCGTTCTTCTCGCTGTGTTCCCGCACCGTTCTGGTCTTCAGGGCGGACTGTGAGAGGAGAGGAGTTCGTCACGCTGCCCCACCTACATCCTGGCTGCCCCGCCTACATCCTGACAGCTGCACAGTCCTGACTTTTGGGGCGGCCGCCCGAGAGGAGGGAGGGGGGCGACCGCCCGAGAGGAGGGAGGGGAGCGGGCGCCCGGCACACAGAAGAGCCGCATTTAAGTTTGTAAAGAGCCGCATGTGGCTCGCGAGCCGTGGCTTGCCGACCACTGCTTTAGGGTATACATGTTGTGGTATGTATGCCATTTGGCCTGTGGTGCTTCCCATAGTTGGGGATATTTAAGTGAGAAAGGGTGGGCCAGGAGAGGAAGTTGATTGGTTGATTGTGGGAATGTGGACCATACACAGAAAGATGTAGTTGTTCACCTAAATGGAACTGCCCCTTAGTGCGACCCTGAAATGGGACTATATGGTCAGACCAAGCCTCATTCATTGGAAATGACTACGAGTTAGAGATACGAGCAGAAAATCATAACCCAAGCTCAGCTTAGTATATAAAATGGGAAAGAAGGGCTGTTAAACTGTTACATCATTCATGATACTAATGGAAACTACTGTGGAAGGAAAAGAAACTGCACTCGATGCATTTATTTAGCGACATTGACTGGTCTGTTTTAGTGTGAATGGAGAACCTAAGTGAGTTCCTGCAGCGAATGGGAATGGGGAACAAAATGTAAACCTTCATGTCACCTCTGATGGAGAGTAAGAGGTAAAAAGAAGGAGGAGCAGCCAGCTCGGATGAGGTGGTGATGGTCAGTGATGGAGGTTCCATCAGAGGGGTGGATTGGTGGCTGTATGGTCTACCCTTCTAAGCTATAGGAACCCTATGTTAGGGCTCTCTGCATAACGGAACCCTCCTAGGGACTGGGCCGGGACCACTGGACCATGGGTGTGCGAGGCATTGTAAAGTACATATCAGTGTCCCTCCATGGCTTTAGGCTGAGGTGTACTGTGTAATGTGTGTAAAAGAGCCGGTGGAGGAAAATCAGTGTTTTACACTATTTCCTTCAAAGTAACTCTGTAGTCAGTGCCGAGACAAGTGTCACTGGCAAGTGAAAAGATGGTATCCTTCCGGTGTTGTTCCCAGTGAAGTAATTGAAGTAATTTGGCTAACTCACAGACTGAAGCAATTCCTTAATAGTAACACTTCACCTAAATAATTAATTTAGACTGACAGCAGGCAGTTCCCCCATACTGCCAGCATTCTTGCCTTTGCCAATACCTCCTCGTTAGTGTCAAGCTGACTTCCTTTTAACTACACCTTCTTATTACCCTGTCATTGTGGTGGATGACATCAATGGCCAGTAGGGGGATGTGAGAGACAAGAAGAGGTAGAGAAGTTGGAACAAAACCAAAAAGTATTGCGAAAAGGAAGAATTTTCTTATTATAGCACACCAGGATTTGGAGCCCTGAGGCTATAATATGGATTTATAGTGGTTGTTAACTCTTGCATATACCCAGTGAAGTGACTGGAGTCAGGTGAAACACAGAGATGAAACAGATCCTCCTACATACATTGTACCTGTTTACCTGTAACGCTCTTTTCTCTACATCCTTTTAAAGTGATGAATTTATAAAACTTGTCTGAGGAGTTCAGAAAAAAGGGGGCGGAGAGCTTAAATTATACTCTGCAGTATGTGTGGGTAAGCCCTTCATTCTGTGTTTGTGTCCATTATTTGGTATTTGTTGGCTCTCCCATCATAATTGTGATGAACCCGCTGTATGAACCAGGGGCGGACTGATAACTCATGGGGCCCCCGGGCAATAGGGGATCATGGGGCCCCTGTGTCCTTTCCCAAACTCAAAAAAGCCTATGAAAAAGGTACCAGGGGCATCTCATGGGGCCCCCTACTGACCCCGGGCCCTCGGGCAGTGCCCGAGTTTCCAAATGGTAAGTCCGCCCTGGTATGAACCCATGTTTCTTTCTAATTTTATTTAGCTGACCATTGCACACTGTGGCATTGCTCTGGTACCGTCTGCGGCTCTGGCTGTGATATCTTGTTGCTCACTGGACTTGCTCTTTGCAGTATTGCCTGGGCTAATGCTCTTACGTGCCTGACATAAGGTTTTTTGTGTAATACCCAGTTATGATACACTGCAATGTACTTTTGTACTCATATCTGTTCTGTGTTGAAACGTTCTTAAAATAAAGGAATTATAAAAAAAATTATACTTTGCAGGGCTCAGTGAGGAGAGCTCTGAGAGCTGACACACCGCCCCTCCACAAGCTCACAGGAACAGAGTTGGGGCTGTCAATCTGTTGGAGGTCCCTTCCCTGTTACCATTTGCAGGAAAATATGTCAGAAATTATTGCATTGAAAATAATTCATGCTGATAACAAAGGAAGCAGCATTGAGAAATGACACAGTGCTCTAAATTAAGACACACTATAGAGGGATGTTCTTTGTTCATATTTCATGTCTGAGGTTTACAACCACTTTAAAATATTGTCCGGTTTTTAAATTGTCGAGTTTCCTTTAATGCAGACAAGAAATGGGCACCTGGGGTGTTCCTTTGCCAGGGTTTTCCTTTCTCCTAGTTATATTAATGCACGGTGACAAAGAAAAAGTTATTTTTTTTATTGTAAAGCATCTGCAAGCAGACCTTATGAAAGCAGATTTCCCTACTCTGTGCATCATGATATAGTGCAAAGAGCAGGGAAAGACAAGTGAAACTTTGGTAGTGCATCAAGTAGGCCTGCTTGGGGTATCTGTTTTATCAATAAGAACCACTAAGTTCTTGGTTCCCGCAAGGTCATAGGTAGAGATGAGCGAAGTATTCAAAAATTCGATTCGACTGATTCGGCGAATTCGTGGAAAAATTTCGATTTCGAGTCGAATATATTCGCTGCGAATTTAACTTATAAAAGGGTGTTTCTAGGCTTCAGAGAGACTTTATATTAGTGCAGAACACTGTACCTTTAATTTAAATGCCCTTGGAGTCTGCTGGGGAAGAGAAATAATACTGACAGTCAGTATGACATGCAGATGAGTGCCGATCTTAGAATCACCGCACACTTCACTCATTTGGGCAGTCACGGGGCCAAAACCAGAGTGTGGAGCCACAGTGTGGCGGTGGAGGCAGCAGCAATGGGAGGCCATACAGCACCCTATGACAAAAATGGAAACCACCAGCAGTGTGAGGAGACCTGAAAGTGGCACATGGCAGAGTGTGGCGATGGAGACAGCAGCAATGGGGAGGCCGTACAGGGACCCATGACACACTCTGGACCTGGCAGCAGCATGAGGAGGCGGTACAGGGGCCCATGACAGATTACGGGCCTGGCAGCAGCATGAGAAGTCGGTACGGGGTCCCATGGCAGATTACGGGCCTGGCAGCAGCAATGGGAGGCCGTACAGGGACCCATGACACACTCTGGACCTGGCAGCAGCATGGGAGGCGGTACAGGGGCCCATGACAGATTACGGGCCTGGCAGCAGCATGAGGAGTCGGTACGGGGGCCCATGACACACTCTGGACCTGGCAGCAGCATGAGGAGGCGGGTACAGGGGCGCATGACAGATTACGAGCCTGGCAGCAGCAACTTGGACAGGAGGACGTTGTCTCTTGGAAAAGGATTCCAAGAAAGACTGCTGACGGAATCCGTGAAGAGGAGTAGCAGGAGAAGGAGCATCTGAACGAGCGGAATATGCCAACAAGCGACAACAGGGGCCCATGACAGATTACGGGCCTGGCAGCAGCATGAGGAGTCGGTACGGGGGCCCATGGCAGATTAGGGGCCTGGCAGCAGCTATGGGAGGCCCGTAATCTGCCAGCACCCTATGACAAAAAATGGAACCCACCAGCAGTGTGAGGAGACCTGAAAGTGGCACATGGCAGAGTGTGGCAATGGAGACAGCAGCAATGGGAGGCCGTACAGGGACCCATGAGAGACTCTGGACTTGGCAGCAGCATGAGGAGGCGGTATAGGGGCCCATGGCAGATTAGGGGCCTGGCAGCAGCTATGGGAGGCCCGTAATCTGCCAGCACCCTATGACAAAAAATGGAACACCAGCAGTGTGAGGAGACCTGAAAGTGGCACATGTTTGGGGCATGATTCATGGCGGATTTAGTCAGTTGTGTCAGGAACTGGTGGTTTGAAATCCAGACTAATCCACGCCTGATTCATTTTCACAAACGTGAGTCTCTCCACACTTTGGGTGGACAGTCGTGTCCTCCGCGGAGTTGCAATACCTCCTGCCGCACTAAATACGCGCTCCGATGCCACGCTACTGGCCGGGCATGACAGCCTTTCAAGGGCAAATTCAGCTAGTTGGGCCAAAGGTCAAGTTTCGTTGCCCAGTAGTCAAGGGGATTGTCTACCTCGGTTGGCAGGGTGCTGTCCAAGTAGGCCTAAGCCTGTTGTTTGAGGTCCTGCTCCAGGTCCACCTGATGCTGCTGCTGCTGCGGCTGGTTAGTAGTTTCCTCACTGCGCTGGTGAAGAAAGCTACTCATCATCGACTGCAGACTGAGGCAGCTGCTGCTGGTGGAGCTGCCACTGCTCCTACCACCCCACCCCTCCCCTGCTGCCATGGCAGCGGAACGCGAGCGCACAGGGCCCACAGTGTCTGAGGATGGACGTTGGCGCAGACAGGCAGAGACCAGCTGACTACATAGGTGGTTTTTATAGTACGTTATTTTGGCCTCCCTCTCAGCAGGTGTGAAAAAGGCCACCATTTTTGAACGGTAGCGAGGGTCCAACAAGGTGGACAGCCAAAAGTCATCCCTCTGTCTGATGGTTATTATTCGGCTGTCGGTACGCAAGCAAGCGAGCATGCTATGGGCCATTTGTGCCAAGGAATGCGAGGGACTCCCTGCCTCCATCTCCACAGCATACTGCCACGGTGCGTCTGGGTCCTCTGTCTCCTCTTCCTCCTCCTCTACCAGATGCTCCTGCTCCTCCACTCCTGTCCGCTGAGTGGAAAAACCACCCATTTCACTCAATAATTCCTGCACCAATGTCCTCCTCTACCTCCTCCTCCTCTTCTTCCTGTCCTGCCCCCACAGGGGTCATGTGGCGTTGAGATCTGTGCGCCACGTCTACCGCACCCTGACCAGCCATTGTTAACAGCATTTGTTCCAGGACGTGCAACAGAGGAATGACGTCGTTCATCCCATAGTCCTGCCGACTCACGAATAGCGTGGCCTCCTCAAAGGGCCTGAGCAAGCGCAGGTGTCACGCATGAGCTGCCAATGGCTGACATCTAAGTTACACAGGGAGTACCTTTATCCGCTTTTAACATCAGGAAATCTGTGATGGCCTTTTGCTGTTCGTAAAGGCGGTCTAACATATGTAGGGTTGAATTCCACCTTGTTGCAACGTCACAGCATGAGGAGTCGGTACGGGGGCCCATGGCAGATTACGGGCCTGGCAGCAGCAATGGGAGGCCCGTAATCTGCCAGCACCCTATGTCAAAAAATTCAACACACCAGCAGTGTGTGAGGAGACCTGAAAGTGGCACATGGCAGAGTGTGGCGATGGAGACAGCAGCAATGGGAGGCCGTACAGGGACCCATGAGAGACTCTGGACCTGGCAGCAGCATGAGGAGGCGGTATAGGGGCCCATGGCAGATTAGGGGCCTGGCAGCAGCTATGGGAGGCCCGTAATCTGCCAGCACCCTATGTCAAAAAAATGGAACACACCAGCAGTGTGTGAGGAGACCTGAAAGTGGCACATGGCAGAGTGTGGCGATGGAGACAGCAGCAATGGGAGGCCGGCGTACAGGGACCCATGACAGACTCTGGACTTGGCAGCAGCATGAGGAGGCGGCGGCGGTATAGGGGCCCATGGCAGATTAGGGGCCTGGCAGCAGCTATGGGAGGCCCGTAATCTGCCAGCACCCTATGTCAAAAAATTGGAACACACCAGCAGTGTGTGAGGAGACCTGAAAGTGGCACATGGCAGAGTGTGGCGATGGAGACAGCAGCAATGGGAGGCCGTACAGGGACCCATGAGAGACTCTGGACCTGGCAGCAGCATGAGGAGGCGGTATAGGGGCCCATGGCAGATTAGGGGCCTGGCAGCAGCTATGGGAGGCCCGTAATCTGCCAGCACCCTATGTCAAAAAATTCAACACACACCAGCAGTGTGTGAGGAGACCTGAAAGTGGCACATGGCAGAGTGTGGCGATGGAGACAGCAGCAATGGGAGGCCGTACAGGGACCCATGACAGAGACTCTGGACTTGGCAGCAGCATGAGAGGCGGTATAGGGGCCCATGGCAGATTAGGGGCCTGGCAGCAGCTATGGGAGGCCCGTAATCTGCCAGCACCCTATGTCAAAAAATTGAACACACCAGCAGTGTGAGGAGACCTGAAAGTGGCACATGGCAGAGTGTGGCGATGGAGACAGCAGCAATGGGAGGCCGTACAGGGACCCATGAGAGACTCTGGACCTGGCAGCAGCATGAGGAGGCGGTATATAGGGGCCCATGGCAGATTAGGGGCCTGGCAGCAGCTATGGGAGGCCCGTAATCTGCCAGCACCCTATGTCAAAAAATTGAACACACCAGCAGTGTGAGGACCTGAAAGTGGCACATGGCAGAGTGTGGCGAAGGAGACAGCAGCAATGGGAGGCCGTACAGGGACCCATGAGAGACTCTGGACCTGGCAGCAGCATGAGGAGGCGGTACAGGGGCCCATGGCAGATTAGGGGCCTGGCAGCAGCTATGGGAGGCCCGTAATCTGCCAGCACCCTATGACAAAAAATGGAACACACCAGCAGTGTGTGAGGAGACCTGAAAGTGGCACATGGCAGAGTGTGGCGATGGAGACAGCAGCAATGGGAGGCCGTACAGGGACCCATGAGAGACTCTGGACCTGGCAGCAGCATGAGGAGGCGGTATAGGGGCCCATGGCAGATTAGGGGCCTGGCAGCAGCTATGGGGGGAGGCCCGTAATCTGCCAGCACCCTATGTCAAAAAATTGGAACACACCAGCAGTGTGAGGAGACCTGAAAGTGGCACATGGGCAGAGTGTGGCGATGGAGACAGCAGCAATGGGAGGCCGTACAGGGACCCATGGAGACTCTGGACCTGGCAGCAGCATGAGGAGGCGGATATACAGGGGCCCATGGCAGATTAGGGGCCTGGCAGCAGCAATGGGAGGCCCGTAATCTGCCAGCACCCTATGTCAAAAAATGGAACACACCAGCAGTGTGTGAGGAGACCTGAAAGTGGCACATGGCAGAGTGTGGCGATGGAGACAGCAGCAATGGGAGGCCGTACAGGGACCCATGAGAGACTCTGGACCTGGCAGCAGCATGAGGAGGCGGTATAGGGGCCCATGGCAGATTAGGGGCCTGGCAGCAGCTATGGGAGGCCCGTAATCTGCCAGCACCCTATGACAAAAAATGGAACACACAGCAGTGTGTGAGGAGACCTGAAAGTGGCACATGGCAGAGTGTGGCGATGGAGACAGCAGCAATGGGAGGCCGTACAGGGACCCATGAGAGACTCTGGACCTGGCAGCAGCATGAGGAGGCGGTATAGGGGCCCATGGCAGATTAGGGGCCTGGCAGCAGCTATGGGAGGCCCGTAATCTGCCAGCACCCTATGACAAAAAATGGAACACACCAGCAGTGTGTGAGGAGACCTGAAAGTGGCACATGTTTGGGGCATGATTCATGGCGGATTTAGTCAGTTGTGTCAGGAACTGGTGGTTTGAAATCCAGACTAATCCACGCCTGATTCATTTTCACAAACGTGAGTCTCTCCACACTTTGGGTGGACAGTCGTGTCCTCCGCGGAGTTACAATACCTCCTGCCGCACTAAACACGCGCTCCGATGCCACGCTACTGGCCGGGCATGACAGCCTTTCAAGGGCAAATTCAGCTAGTTGGGGCCAAAGGTCAAGTTTCGTTGCCCAGTAGTCAAGGGGATTGTCTACCTCGGTTGGCAGGGTGCTGTCCAAGTAGGCCCAAGCCTGTTGTTTGAGGTCCTGCTCCAGGTCCACCTGATGCTGCTGCTGCTGCTGCGGCTGGTTAGTAGTTTCCTCACTGCGCTGGTGAAGAAAGCTACTCATCATCGACTGCAGACTGAGGCAGCCGCTGCTGGTGGAGCTGCCACTGCTCCTACCACCCCACCCCTCCCCTGCTGCCATGGCAGCGGAACGCGAGCGCACAGGGCCCACAGTGTCTGAGGATGGACGTTGGCGCACAAAGGCAGAGACCAACTGACTACATAGGTGGTTTTTTTATAGTACGTTATTTTGGCCTCCCTCTCAGCAGGTGTGAAAAAGGCCACCATTTTTGAACGGTAGCGAGGGTCCAACAAGGTGGACAGCCAAAAGTCATCCCTCTGTCTGATGGTTATTATTCGGCTGTCGCTACGCAAGCAACCGAGCATGCTATGGGCCATTTGTGCCAAGGAATGCGAGGGACTCCCTGCCTCCATCTCCACAGCATACTGCCACGGTGCGTCTGGGTCCTCTGTCTCCTCCTCCTCCTCCTCTACCACATGCTCCTGCTCCTCCACTCCTGTCCGCTGAGTGGAAAAAAACCACCCATTTCACTCAATAATTCCTGAGCACAAATGTCCTCCTCTACCTCCTCCTCTTCTTCCTGTCCTGCCCCCACAGGGGTCATGTGGCGTTGAGATCTGTGCGCCACGTCTACCGCACCCTGACCAGCCATTGTTAACAGCATTTGTTCCAGGACGTGCAACAGAGGAATGACGTCGTTCATCCCATAGTCCTGCCGACTCACGAATAGCGTGGCCTCCTCAAAGGGCCTGAGCAAGCGGCAGGTGTCACGCATGAGCTGCCAATGGCTGACATCGAAGTTACACAGGGGAGTACCTTTATCCGCTTGTAACATCAGGAAATCGGTGATGGCCTTTCGCTGTTCGTAAAGGCGGTCTAACATGTGTAGGGTTGAATTCCACCTTGTTGCAACGTCGCAGATCAGGCGATGCTGTGAATTCCGTTCTGCCGCTGCAGCTCAAGGAGGGGGTGTGCTTTGCGGTGTAGGAATGGCTGAAATGCATGCAAAGTTTTACGTGACATTTTAAGGATGTCTTGCAGTGGGATGGGATTTTAGGAACCGCTTGACAACCAGATTGAACACGTGAGCCATGCATGGCGCATGGCACAACCTTCCTTGACGCAGAGCAGACACCATGTTCTTTCCGTTGTCGGTCAACATGGTTTCCGATTTTCAGTTTGCGCGGAGACAGCCATCTGTCGATTTCTCTGTTCATTACACTGAGAAGTTCCTCCCCTGTGTGACTACGTTCGCCAAGGCATACCAGGTGCAGCACAGCGTGACACCGTTGCGCCCTGCACATGTGATATGCCGGTCGGGTAATGGGACTTGGCACGGGGGTGGGGTGGCGGTGAGGACTGAGGACACGGAAGGAAGAAGAGGTGGTAGAGGCGGACATCTTTTTGTGGACCAAGGACGTGCAAACGTGGAGGCAAAAGCGGCGTGACCTGTCCAAGTTGCTGGTGCGGCTGTGACGGCACCAGTTCACCCAGTGGGCCGTAAATGACATGTACTGTCCCTGACCGTAGTTACAGCTCCACACGTCGGCGCTGCCGTGCACTTTGGCAGAGACCGACATGCTCAAAGACTGGCCCCCACCATCTCTTCTACATGTGAATGCAGGGCTGGCACTGCCTTTTTGGCGAAGAAATGACGGCTTGGCACTCTCCACGCGGCGCGGCACAAGCCATCATTTCTCGGAAAGGTGCTGAGTCCACCACTTGGAAAGGGAGGGACTGCAGCACCAGCAACTTGGACAGGAGGACGTTCAGCTTTTGCACCGTCGGGTGCGTGCTCGCAAACTGTTGTCTCTTGGAAACGGATTCCAAGAAAGACTGCTGACGGAATCCGTGAAGAGGAGTAGCAGGAGAAGGAGCATCTGAACGAGCGGAAGATGCAACGAGCGACAACTCCCCTCAGCAGAGGTGTTGGAGCCTTGACTGGCTGATAGAGGGCGATTGACGTCGGGTGACGGAGCAAGTAACGGAGCGGGTGATGGAGCGGGGGCTGGGGGGGGCAGAACCGCCGTATCTTTATCACGGTTTTCCCAGGCCACCAAATGGCGACGCTGCATATGCTGCCGCAACGCTGTAGTCCCAACATGGGCCCCCTGGCCACGCTTGACTTTCTGGCCACATAGTCGACATACGGCTACGTTTACTTCCTCGGGCGGCTTGACAAAAAATTGCCACACCGCCGAGTAGGAAACTTTGCCCCCGATACTCCTCACTGGCTGACTGCTGCTTCCTCCGTGCACACCGGCACCACTACTGGCCGTGGTGGTAGGCTGCAGTGGAGCTGGTGCTGTACTCCGTGGCCGTTTGCCTCCACTGACACTGCTGCGACCCTGCTGCCTCCTGGGCAACCCACCGACTGTTTTGCTCGCTGCCAAGCTGCCACCCTCTTCTCCTGATGATGCGGAAGCAATAGCCTGATGACGACGAGGCTGCCAAGTGCGATCAGCCTCATCATCATCAATTAGGGTCTCCGCCTCACTACTAGCCCCCTCGGCTGCGTGTGGGTCAGGAGACAGACCTGTCTCTAGACCGGCTACCGAGCCACTCTCCTCGCCACTACTTCTTCGCCTGGCTGCTGAAGAGGCGGATGTCTCCCCCCGTTCCTGACCGCCCCTCTGTTGCTCTTCCTCACTGTACAGTGGGGCTGAGCCCACAGCATGCGATACTTCGCTTGGTGAGGGAACACAAAGGACAGGGGCAGGTAGAGGACACGTGATTTCAGTGGGCTTGGTCCCGGGCCATGCCAACTAACGGTTGTGTCTGACGTACCCACCGACCGTTGGCTGTAGGTGTCAGAGGTGACCTGGGAAGAGGAAGACGACCGAGCCAACCAATCGATGACGGCAGGGTTGTCGGTGGAGACACGACCGCTGGATGACACCGGGAGCACTGGCCTCTGGCTGCGAATAGTGCTGCCTCGACCCCTTCCTGCTGCCACGTCTGCTCGCTCCTAAAACATTGCCTCCTCTGCCACTCCTCTGCATGTTGTCTGACATACTCTTTAATTAAACGATTCTGTGTCCCTGAGTAACAATTCTGTGTCTGTCCCTGAGTAACAATTCTGTGTCCCTGAGTAACAATTCTGTGGCCCTAAGTAACGTTTCTGTGGCCCTAAGTAACAATTCTGTGTCCCTCAGTAACAATTCTTCAATTCTGTGTCCCTCAGTAACAATTCTGTGTCCCTCAGTAACAATTCTGTGTCCCTGAGTAACAATTCTGTGTCTGTCCCTGAGTAACAATTCTGTGTCCCTGAGTAATGTTTCTGTGGCCCTAAGTAACAATTCTGTCTGTGTCCCTCAGTAACAATTCTGTGTCCCTCAGTAACAATTCTGTGTCCCTCAGTAACAATTCTGTGTCTGTCCCTAAGTAACAATTCTGTGGCCCTAAGTAACGTTTCTGTGGCCCTCAGTAACAATTCTGTGTCCCTCAGTAACAATTCTGTGTCTGTCCCTAAGTAACAATTCTGTGGCCCTGTGGCCCTAAGTAACAATTCTGTGGCCCTAAGTAACAATTCTGTGGCCCCTCAGTAACAATTCTGTGTCCCTCACAGTAACAATTCTGTGTCTGTCCCTAAGTAACAATTCTGTGGCCCTAAGTAACAATTCTGTGGCCCTCAGTAACAAATTCTGTGTCTGTCCCTCAGTAACAATTCTGTGTCTGTCCCTAAGTAACAATTCTGTGGCCCTAAGTAACGTTTCTGTGGCCCTAAGTAACAATTCTGTGGCCCTAAGTAACAATTCTGTGGCCCTCAGTAACAATTCTGTGTCCTCAGTAACAATTCTGTGTCCCTAAGTAACAATTCTGTGGCCCTAAGTAACAATTCTGTGGCCCTAAGTAACGTTTCTGTGGCCCTAAG